GCGGGAGGGAACCGGCGGGCAGCGCGGCTCGCTGCGGAGGCCAGGCGCGCGCGCACACGGGCGCAGGGCGGAGGGTCCGGGGACACGCGCACCTGTGGCCTTGCAGGCCTCCCCGCCAGGGTCTCCGTCTTCTCGCAGCCTCCTGGGTTTCCTTCTTTCTCACTCTCCCGTCTTGGAGTGTGGGGTATTTGCTTTAATAAGCGGGTCAGTGGATGGCACCCTTGTCTGTCTCCTCCCCACCTCCAGAGTGTTTTTTTCTCCTGTCTAGGCCTTACTTACTCCTTGATTTTTCGGGGGTGGAGGGGCTGGGGGAACCTAAAAACAAAACAACACACACACACACACACACACAGCCGCTTTTTGCTGAGAACAGCGCTGGGCTCTCCGGTGCCCTGGCACGCTGGCCAAGAGAGGAAGTAAGGGAGGGGGCAGGAATCAGACGCGACTCTCTCTCACCCGCCCTTCTTCCTCTCGCTGTTCCCCGCTCCTGCAGGAAAAAAGCTATTGGAGGTCACTGCTATGACCAACCACTATGCCCCGCCCTCCCTTCCCTTCCAAGCTGAATCTGCACCAAGCGCCTGACTGCCCGCGCGTGCCCGGGCCTGGGCAGGTCCTGGCGGAGCAGGTTCCCCTCCCCCGTGCTGCTCCGCGAATCACGCTGTTCCTGGGACTTCACGCTCAAGGGGCTCTTGCGTAACCCTATGCCCTGGCCTAAGTTAATACTTAAAAAAAAAAAAAAAAGCCAAAAAACAAAACAGGATTAATCCTTTAGGGAAAGGCAAATACTTCCGCCGCGGACCCGGCCCAGGAGTCCAAGAGGAAATCACCTTACTGTGTACGGCTGCCTGCCCTAGTCCCTATGCGCGCCGCTGCAGGCCCCGGGCGCAGGCCAGCCCCCAAATTCCTGGCGCGGCCCGGGAGCAGGGACTGAGGGGAGGCCGGAGGAGGGCCCCACGCAGACGTTTGTTTTCATCCACTCCGAGGTCAAAGAACCGGGTCCTGTTCACCGCCGGGCTGAGTGTTACCAAAAAAGGCCTTTTTCTCGCCGGAGCGCTTGGCGGCGCGCGTTGCAGCGGGGTGACGCGAGGTTCAGCCCGGGCCTCCTCCAAGACTGAGCCAGCTGGCGGCGGGAATGCCAGGCCTGGAGCGTCCCCCTCCTCCTTCCTCTCCCCGCCCCAATGCTGCCACAGCGCGGTGGGGGGCGAGGGCGGAGAGACTGCAGGCAGCCTGGACGTGTGTAGGCGCCTGGCGACCTTCTCACCCCAAACGCTGAGCGATGAAAGGCCGAGAGCTAAGCTGACCTTTTGCTCCAGTTTACAGCGGGGTTCTCTGAGGATGCCAGCTTGGCCGGCAAGCTGGGGTTGAGGGTGGGGGAGGAGATTACATAGGCACCAGTCTCAGCAGGGCTGTCTCAGCACCCCAGTCGCCACTGCCCTCTAGTTCCTTCATGTTGTTACGGTCCTAGGACTGTAAGTTAGGGAGGTGATGTGTGTGTGTGTGTGTGTGTGTGTGTGTGTGTGTGTGTGTGTGTAGGCAGTTGAGAAGCATGGTGGGGAATTCTTGCAGGGGGCAGGGTTAGCAGAGGGAATTGCGTTTCCAATGAAGGGCTCATGAACCCCCAGAAGGAACCTTGTTTCAATGTACGTGGTTGTATAAGTGTCTGCAGAAGTGGGTGCTGGGTGTGTATCTCCTACGACAGACACATGTGTATGCCGCCCAAAGGCAACACTGCCACAGCCTCCTACTTGCTTTCTCCAGCGGCCATGCTAGAGGGCTGTGGCTAGGCTGCCACTTCCCCAGTGTTTCTGGTTTCATCAAGGGAAGGGCTGAGTAAATATTAATGTAAGGAAATGGGTCAAACAGTCAAGTCAGAGCTCAGGAGTCCCAGGGTTGGCAGGGCCGGTGGGCCACAGCCCAGGCCCGGGCTTTGACTCACTCTGGGACAGCGTGATGTGGGTGGGGTGAGGCAGGGCTCTCAGGGAGCCCTGGTTGCCACTGGGAGAGTGCATCAGAGATCTGGTGGCTTGGAGAGGAAAGAGAGGAGCCCCTAGCTGCTTCCTGTCCCCTTTCCTCTCCATCCTTACAAATCCCCACCTTGGGAATAGGAGACTGGGATGCTGGGACTGTTCCGTAGGGGAATATACCCTGGAGGTCAGATATCAAAATAAATGCATTTCTTGTTGTTTCAACTGAACTTTGCTATAATTCATAGCACTGATAAGAATAATGATATTACATTTTACTCAGTTTACAAAGAATTTTCAATGCTAATCAGTCATGGTTTTTTTATTGTTTTAAAATATTTATTTTATTTTTATTGGAATGGCAGGCTTACAGAGAGGCGATAGAGAGAGAAAGATCTTCCAACCACTGGTTCATTCCCCAAGTGGCCACAGTGGCTGAGGCTGAGCTGATCTGAAGCTAGGAGCCAGAAGCTTCTTCCAGGTCTCCTTTGAGGAGTCTCCTATGGGTTTCCCAGGCAGGTGCAGGGTCCCAAGGCTTTGGGCCATGCTCTACTACTTTGCCAGGCCACAAGCAGGGAGGTGGATGGGAAATGGAGCAACCAGGACATGGACTGGTACCCATATGGAATCTTGGCATATGGAGGGCAAGAATTTCAGCCACTAAGCTATCATGGCCAGGCCCAGTGCTAACGATTCAGCATGGGCAGCTTTCTGTAAGTCTGATGCTGCTCCGTACACTGTCTGGGGTGTGTATATCTATGTTACAGTCCTGTTCACAGTGTCACAGCTGAGAAGGGGAGTCTGCGGGCTGCCAATGAGGGGGTCTTTACATACCATGGACCAAAGAGTACCTGCAACCATGAAGCAGAGGAGGGGGCTGAAGGAAATTGTGAGCACCCCAGAGTCCCTGAAACGGCCTGAGCTTTTGAGAGCTGACTCTCCAGTTCTGATGCTGATTTCCTCTCCAACGGTTCAGGCAGAGTGACTTCACCTCCTCACTGGTGTGCCTGTAAGACAGTCAGGGGTGCAGTTTACCTTGTAGAGAAAAATTAGGGTCTAATAATACAGACAGCAGACCCTAACACACTCTCAACGTAGATCATATTAACAGACAAGTAAGTAAACCACCTAGCACAGTGCCTCAACCACAGTCAGCCTTAGAGTGCTCTCCCACGATAAGCAACCAGTTAAAACCTCAGACAATCCTATAAGTTGGGAGCTGCCATTCCATCTTACGGCTGGAAAAACTTGGGTTGTGTAAGTAACTGGCTCAAGACACAGCAAATTCCAGCCAGGTGGGCTAGACTCTGAACTCTCATCACAGTGCCTTGCCTCCTCCAAGCGTCGAGGCTGGGGGTGGGAGGAGAATTACTGCAATATTTTTGGAAATAGAAACAGCAGTCCTGAAATCATGGAACAACCCAGATGACCATCAAAAGAGAAATGGATTAAGACACTGGTATATCTACTCCAGGGAATATTACATAACCATTAACAAGATAAAATTGTATCATTTGGAACAAAATGGTCCCAACTGGAAACCGTTATGTTCTGTGAAATAAACCAATCCCAAAAGACGAATGCCATATGTTTTCTATAAGGCAACCTTAATGCAAAATGCAAAACAAATAGATATATAGGAGAAAAAGTATTGTACATATATTCTCTTAGATAAACTGTATAATGGAGACCAGCATATCGGGAAGTAAAGATACTTTGCAGTATGCATCCCTACTCCTGGATAAAAGCACTCCCAGTGAAAGTTAAATATACCTTGACAATTTGAAACCAGATTTTCTACCATTGCCTATACCTACAATGCAATAATACTCTTAAGTAGCAGAATGTTAAAGTTATAACTGTCACCAGAGGACTGTACTACTATAATAATGGGGAAATGGTGACAGGGCAAAGTGGGGAGGGAAGAGGGGGAGCAGGACCCCCATATCGACAAAATTGTATCATGCAAAATAATAACCAAAAACGGGGGGAGGGAGCAACAGCAACCCCAATAATTAGAAAGAACGATCTACTGCGATGCGTTACCCAGAGGTAAGCATGAACGATGAGCAATGATCTTGCTTTTTTTTTAAAAAAAGAAAATCTCCTGGCACGGAGTGCTCCACAAAAGGCAGTCAGCGGCGGTGTTGCTAAGAAAGGCCCCCACTTCCCAGGACAAACCCGGAAAAACACCTGTTGGGTCTCTCGGCACCTCCCCCGCCCCGCCCTCTAGCGCAGCTGTGCACACCGTCGGCGTGCTTTCCTTCAGACTTTGAGCTAGCGTGTGTAGAGTTCTGCGGGGGCGCAGGGGGTGGCGCACCCTAGGAGCCCTTTCCCTGCACCGCTGAAGCTCGGGTTCCCAGACCCAGAACACACAAACCAATCGAAAAGGCAATTTCTGCAAGCCGTGCTTCGGTCTCAGCGGTGCTAAATATTACATCTAAGTGCAGGAGGCAGGGAGGGGCGGACGAGACGGGGCGTAAATCAGATAGGTGGGGTGGGGGAGGGAGGAGGAGGGTCAGTTCGCAGTTGACATGAGTAATGCCATTACGTTCAATTCACAACGAGAAATCCCGAAACAGGACGTGTGGATTGAGTGGAGAGGGGAAACGACGCGCTTGTGGTTCTGCAAGGTGTTTTTACTCGGGAAAGCCGAGCTGGGAAAGGAAAGGTCATCGTTCTGTTTAATTTCTACGCCCAGCCCTGGACTTGCGGCATTAGCTGGCCGGGCCTCAGCTGTTGCACACACAAACACGCACACACACACACACGCACACACGCACACACCACACCGAGGGGGAGGGGAGGGCGGCGGCGCGGAGGAGGGGCCGGCGGGCAGGAATCTGGGCGTCCTGCCGCGCATGCGCCCAGCCCGAGCAACAAGTGGGCTCCACAGACAGAGGAAGTGTAAAGGGCGGGGGGCGGGGGGCGAGCTGGTGCAGAGCATGGCGGTGACGTCAGCGCTCCGCCCGGGCGGCATCCCGCGCGGCCAAGCCGGGGACAGCGCGAGCCGCAGCCCGAGCAGGAGCGCCGGGACGCGCGCCTCCGGAACGTAGAGTAACAATCACAACCCCACATTCCGGGCGAGCGCGAGCCAGCGAGCGGGAAGGGATGCGAGCCGGGCCGAGGCGCCGCGCGAGCGCCCTGCAGCCAACGTGAGCGCCGGTGGGAGCCTGCGTGCGTGCGCTCCCCTCCTCGGGCTCGCGTGCGTCCTGGAAGCGGTGGCCGTGGCGGCTCCCTCCGGCGTGCAGAGCCAGCCCGCCGCCAGCAGCAGACGCTGCTCCTGCTGTTGCGGAGGGGAGCAGCTCCTCTCTCGGCTGCCACTCCCCACCCCCGGCCCTCGGGGGAAGCAGCGGCTTCGGCAAGACTGGACCTGGGCAGCGGGTGGCACAGCTCTCGAGCCCTCGCCCCAGGGAGCCCAGCGGGGGAGAGGACGCAGCGCCCAAGGGGGCCCCCAGGGGAGAGGAAGAGGCAGCCCCAGCCGAACTTGCACGCAGCTGCAGCCACTCCGGGGAGGGGGCCAAGAGGCAAAGGCGGTCGGCACGGGGCACCCTCGCCCCCTCCCCCCCGGCCCGGAGCTTCCCACCTCGGTCCGCGACACCAGGAAGACGGCGCCCGAGCCCCTCTCCCGTCGAGACCGCCGCAGTAGGAGGTGGGGGCGAGGAGCGTGCTGAGCGAGTCCTCCGCCCGGGGCGTGGAGCCCCCGCCGAGGGGCGCGGCGCCTGCGGCCGAGACTCGCGCAGGCTCCAGCCCCTCGGGCACAACTTTCTCGCCCCCCTCCTTCCCCGCAGCCGGACTGCCCTGCCCAGCCAAGCCGTCGTTCCGGAGGAGAAGGCGCGCCGGAGCCAGCCCGGGCGCGGGGGCCCTGCCTTTCCCCAAGGGTCGGCATCATGTCGGCAGCGCAGGTGTCCTCGTCCCGGAGACAATCGTGCTACCTGTGCGACCTGCCCCGCATGCCCTGGGCCATGATCTGGGACTTCTCGGAACCCGTCTGCCGCGGTTGCGTCAACTACGAGGGCGCCGACCGCATCGAGTTCGTGATTGAGACGGCGCGCCAGCTCAAGCGGGCGCACGGCTGCTTCCAGGACGGCCGCTCCCCCGGGCCGCCGCCTCCCGTCGGGGTCAAGACAGTGGCCCTGTCGGCCAAGGAGGCGGCGGCGGCGGCAGCAGCAGCGGCGGCCGCCGCGCAACAGCAACAGCAGCAGCAGCAGCAACAGCAGCAACAGCAGCAAGTCAACCACGTCGATGGGTCCAGCAAGCCCGCGGTGCTGGCCGCCCCGTCCGCCTTGGAGCGCTACGGCCTGAGTGCAGCCGCCGCCGCCGCTGCCGCCGCCGCCGTGGAACAGCGCACCCGCTTCGAGTATCCGCCGCCGCCGGTGAGTCTGGGCAGCAGCGGCCACGCCGCACGACTGCCCAACGGCCTGGGCGGCCCGAACGGCTTCCCCAAGCCGGCGCCAGAGGACGGTCCCCCGGAGCTGAACCGCCAGAGTCCCAACTCGTCCACAGCGGCGGCGACAGTGGCTTCTCGGCGTGGCACGCATGGTGGGCTGGTGACGGGGCTCCCCAACCCTGGTGGTGCTGGTGGCGGCGGCGGCGGGGGTCCCCAGCTCACCGTCCCCCCCAACCTGCTGCCGCAGACGCTGCTTAATGGCCCGGCCCCCGCCACCGTGCTGCCTCCGCCCCCACCCCACGGCCTGGGCAGCCGAGGACCCCCTACACCCGCGCCCCCCGGCGCCCCCGGGGGGCCCGCTTGCTTGGCCGGCGCGGCTGCTGGCGTAGCGGCCGCATCGTCGTCGTCGGCCACGGCGTCGTCTTCAACCTCGTCGTCGGTGGCCGAGGTGGGCGTGGGGACCGGTGGCAAGAGGCCCGGCTCGGTGTCGAGCACGGACCAGGAGCGCGAGCTCAAGGAGAAGCAGCGCAACGCCGAGGCCCTAGCCGAGTTGAGCGAGAGCCTGCGCAACCGCGCCGAGGAGTGGGCCAACAAGCCCAAGATGGTCCGCGACACCCTGCTCACGCTGGCTGGCTGCACGCCCTACGAGGTGCGCTTCAAGAAGGACCACTCGCTGCTGGGCCGGGTCTTCGCCTTCGACGCCGTCTCCAAGCCCGGGATGGACTACGAGCTGAAACTGTTCATCGAGTACCCCACGGGCTCGGGCAACGTGTACTCGAGCGCGTCCGGGGTGGCCAAGCAGATGTACCAGGATTGCATGAAGGACTTCGGCCGTGGTCTCTCTTCCGGCTTCAAGTACCTGGAATACGAGAAGAAGCACGGCTCCGGGGACTGGCGCCTTCTGGGGGACCTGCTGCCCGAGGCCGTGCGCTTCTTCAAGGAGGGCGTGCCCGGCGCCGACATGCTGCCCCAGCCCTACCTGGACGCCAGCTGTCCCATGCTGCCCACCGCTCTGGTGAGCCTCAGCCGCGCCCCCAGTGCGCCTCCAGGAACGGGAGCCCTGCCGCCCGCCGCGCCCTCGGGCCGGAGCACAGCCTCCAGCCTGCGCAAGAGGAAAGCGTCCCCGGAGCCCCCAGACTCAGCCGAGGGCGCGCTGAAGCTGGGCGAGGAGCAGCAGAGACAGCAGTGGATGGCGAACCAGAGCGAGGCGTTGAAGCTCACCATGACTGCCGGGGGCTTTGCGGCTCCGGGACACGCGGCAGGGGGGCCGCCACCACCACCTCCGCCGCCGCCACCACCACCCCTGGGACCCCATTCCAACCGGACCACCCCGCCCGAATCGGCACCCCAGAACGGCCCGTCCCCCATGGCCGCCCTCATGTCGGTGGCAGACACTCTGGGCACGGCGCACTCGCCCAAGGACGGCAGCTCTGTGCATTCTACCACTGCATCGGCCAGGCGCAACAGCAGCAGCCCGGTGTCCCCGGCCTCGGTGCCGGGTCAGCGCCGCTTGGCATCACGCAATGGGGACCTGAATCTGCAGGTGGCGCCTCCGCCGCCGACCGCCCACCCGGGCCTGGACCAAGTGCATCCCCAAAACATTCCAGACTCTCCTATGGCCAATAGTGGACCCCTGTGCTGTACCATTTGCCACGAACGTTTGGAGGACACGCATTTCGTTCAGTGCCCGTCCGTCCCCAGCCACAAATTCTGCTTTCCCTGCTCCAGAGAGAGCATCAAGGCCCAGGGGGCCACAGGCGAAGTGTACTGCCCCAGCGGAGAGAAATGCCCCTTGGTTGGGTCAAATGTACCTTGGGCTTTCATGCAGGGGGAAATCGCGACTATCTTAGCGGGGGATGTTAAAGTGAAAAAGGAGAGAGACCCTTGAACCACGGAGGGTAGGGGGGATCCGCTGCAGCCGCCGCCTTTGCGCTAGACCAGCCCCGCGACCAGCCAGAGAGCCCCTCTCTCCCACCCGCTGCCTCCCCCCCCCACTTCCCGGCCCCTCACCCAAGATGTAGAATTGTGAATATAACACCTGCAAAAAGTTAGTCTCCTGTATAGACGTTATTTTCGTCGTCTGTTTATATTTTGAAACAAAGGTATGTAACTTCTTGGTTTGGAGGATGAACCGGTGTGTGTTGAGCGGGATGATATCGGATCATTTCCTTCGCCTTCGTTAATGTTTATTTGGCGGCAGAATGTTTGCCTAGGTACTGAATTAATAGCCCTTAGCAACCACTGCTGCTGCTGTGTATTTTTGTAAATGTTATGCTCTCTCTGAAAGGAAAAACACACAAAAGAAAAAGACTTTTTTTTGTGCCAAGGCCAGTGTTGCTGCCTAAAAAAAATAATATGATGTTAGGAAAACGGTAAAAGCTTCTCTCTAACCAGCCCCAAGTGTTGAAGTCCTCGTTTTGTTCATTTCTGTTTTGTTTTCCTGTTTTGTTTGCGACAATGGTAAGGGGGGCGTTGGGAGGGGACAGGGGTGTTTTCCATTGCAAGTTTGTGAGGGGGGGCAATGTTTTGGTTCGTTTCTGCTGACCTGGATGTGTTGGGTCCTCTCCGTGTTGTTTTTTTTGTTTTGTTTTTTTGCTTTATTGATGCACGGATGCTTTTGAACCAGTAGAGCGAAATGCTAGACATGGAGAATCTGCTGTTTGTCCTTTATACATTTCTGTAGTTAACACAACACTGTAATGTGCCTTGGAGCTTAGTAACTTGTAATAAATTCAATTGATATGAATTCTGCTGCGAGTGAGCAAGTTTGTCTTTCTAGGGCTAAGGCCACTCAGCTCCCACGTAGGAAGCAGCCTCCCTCCCGGCCAACACCAACCCTTGCACACTGGGGGCCTTTGGAAGCTGGCACCCACCCGAGGCCGGCCCCTCCCCCATGGCACCGGCTGGTTGCCCTTCACCTCCAGGGCTAGGAGACAGCTGCTGACTAAGCAGTTTCTGTTGACTCTTCCCATCCCTGTTGGCGGGGTGGGGGGACAACTACAACTGGCAGCCTCAGGACTGTTTTTGTTTTGATTTTGGTACCTTGACTTTGGACCTTGAGTATTTGCTGATGCCCAGGATAGCTGGACCTTGACAAGTAAAAGGGAAAGAGCTAGGAAAAACAAAACAAAAAAAGTTAGGGCGCTTTGCCTCTCATATTTACAACAGGGCAACAGGGCCTGGAGGGCTGTGTGTAACTGGGAGGCAGGGCATGGAGCCAGCTAGTGCTGGAGTCTTCCTGCTCTGCCTCATGCATGTTACATGTCTGGTTCTGTCCCCGAGGCAGGCCACATGGCAGCTCTTCCTGGCTTTTCTGGGGGTGGGGAGGGGAAGAGGGAGAAAAACCCAAACTCGGTTCTTGAAGCCAAGGTTCCTTAGGATAGCTAGAGAAACCCATTCCCCCAGGTAAAGAAAGGCAGTTAGACACCTAACCCACTTGTTGGCAGCAAGCCGTCCGGGAGGGGACGGGGATCTGAATGCTCCATTACAGGTCAGAGCCCCCTCTGGGCTGAGAGCCGTTTTAGGGGAAGGCAAACAAATCTGTTTTGAACCTTGTACTTTCCTGGGAGGCAAATGGAGGAGTCTAAAACAGGAGTGAGGAAGCAAAACAAAACCCAGGCAATCCTATCTAAAATCCACTCCTGGCCACACCCCATTCCTGGGCGGGGCAAGATGGTCCTGGCCCTGCTGGAGGAGTAAGGGAAGTAGCTTGGTGGCCCCACCCAACTCCCAGAAGGAAAGAGAGGGTGGAGAGGTGAGTATGGGTGCAGGCATGTTTAGGGGGAAAAAAAAATCACCGGTTTGCCCAGAATATCAGTGTGAAAGTTGGGTTGGTGTTGGGACTTGCTGCTAATAACAGCCTTAATAGTTTCTGTTCCTGCTTTGCTACCACCTTTAAGTGGTGGGAAGCAGGGAGGGGTGTGTGTGTGTGTGTATGGATCGATAGGTCGGCAGCTCTCTTCACCCCTGTTCATGGGAGGAGCCTGTCTCACCTCTTTTAAGAATCTCCCCATGTATAAATAGATACTTGTGTCAGCTTCCTGCAATGTGTCCTTGCATTTTCATCCACTGCCAAGTGTTGTATTGGTGCTTATGAGTCAGGAAACCTATTTTCATCCTCCAGGGGTAATTAACTTGGGGGGTGATAACGCATAGCAGACTGTCGGAAGAGTTAATTCTGAAACCCATCCTCGCCTGGCTCCCAATCACACATTTCATGGGGAAGGTCTGGGGTAGCTTTTCTCATAAGCTCATTAATAAAAACTGAGCCTGTTTCGCCTGAAAGAGGCTCCCCTCCCCCGCCTCCAGTGCACAGACTGAAAGTCGGGGAACACTCAACAAGCCTGAGAATCCAGAGTGTCCACAAGCGGCTGTCATTTAACCACCACTGCGGCCGACACAGGAGAGTGATGTGGACATGGTCGTGGCCTTGACCGGAACATGTGAACTTAGATATGTGCATTACCTGGCTGAAGGTGGACCCCTGTGTGGGTGGACCCCTGGTGACTGCAGCCCGGAGTCTGCTCTGTTACCTGCCCGCAGGCGCACGTTGGTTGCTGCCAGCTGTCTCTTGCTAGCTTGGGTGGGGTGAGCAGGGACTTGCAGAATTCCAAGGCCCCTGGTTCTGGGACACACATTGAAGAAAGGGGACCTAGCATTCAGACCAGAGAACATAGTGGCTGGAGGGCTGCTGTTAGCAGGAGGGGCAGCAGCAGTCATTATGAGGCCCCTGGTTGGGTCTCCCTTCAGGAAACCTGCCTTGTTGGATGCTGTGGGGGGAGGAGGGAAGGAGAGAACAGGTTGCAGGTGGGACAGGCAGGGAGTTCTAAAGGTGTGGTTAATTCTCATTTAACATAGCCGGGGGTGTTTAGTGCAAATGGTGCCCCACCCTGTTTTTTGGAACCACTTGCCCTTTTCACTTTGCTCTGACCCATCCTGCTACTGGTTTGGCTGCTTGAACCAGTTTTGCTTTGATCTTTAGCTGGATTCCCCCTTCACTGAAGCTTTCCACGTTGGAAGTCTCCAGGAGGATTTTCCCCAACCCAGCCTAGGGAACAGAGCTGTCTTGTGGGTTTCCAAGATTCAGGGCCGGGCCTCTCTGTGCTCCAGGAGCCATTTCTTTCTATGTCCCCCAGATCTATCTTCCTTCTTACCTGCTCCCCTGAATCGCCCAGCCAAACATTTTAAAATCCCAATTGTAGGAGCTTTCTGTGTGCTGGAATGATGATGGGGTGGGGAGACAAAAGCAGAGTGAGAATGTGGTAGGGGTAAAGTTTGCTATTTTTATTACCTTGGAAAGACAAGGAGCAAGCATTTGTTGCTTGGTCTCTCACAGCCATACTTGTAGGGAAGCCGATGTTGAGAGAAGTCTCAAGATTTCTGACTCTACTCATAGATGTCAAAGAAAATCTGTGTTTACAAAATGTATTGATTTGAAAAGCAAAGTTACAGAGGGAAGAAAAGAGAGATCTATCTGCTTGTTAGCTTGCTAAATAGCTGCAAGGGTTCAGAGTGGGTGAGGCTGAAGGCAGGAGTCTGGAATTCCATCCGGATTTTCCACCTGTATGGCTTCACCGGGCAGGCTAGTCTGAGTGCTGGTCTTGGAGCTGGATCCAGCAGAGCTTACCTCTACATGAGAGCAATAATTGTGAGTTCCTGAAGAAGTGTCCCTACCTCCATGCTGGGCCCAGTGAGTTCACTCACACACCTGAACACTCCCCACCCTGGGCAGGCTACAGCCCATGTCCCCAAGCACAACAAACAAAGCTCGCCACCATCTTCCCAACCCAGGGGTAGAGTAGTTTAGTTTCTAAAAAGGTCTTCCACACACACACACACACACACACACGGTCGAAGAAAGAGAAACCAAACAGTATGAGTGGAGACTGCAAAGCCAGTCTCCTTCCCATGGCTCCTGTCCACGGGGGGGGGAGTCACACTGTGGGCAGTCACGCCGCGCAGACCTGAGGCAGTACAGGATGCACAAAGATGCTTAGATCTGTAGTGGACGTCTCCTGGGTAGATCTTAGCTTGAGTCAAAGACCAGAAGAGAGATCCAAGAGGAAGGAAGATCTGGGCTCAGTAAAAGAGAGCTGCATGACAGAGCTGGCAGGAAACCAGATTTGGGGTGCTGTTTTAAAGGTTGCTTGGACGCCCTGTTTGGTTCCTCCTCTCTATGGCTCCTGGGCTTGGAGTGTGTGTGCGTATGCCCTTGTGAGTGCACCTGCATCACTACGTGTGTGATGTGGTGTCCTTAAGACAAGCTTGGGGTTCTTTGGAAGGAAAGGGCACCCTGGAGGTTAGGTGTCCCTGCCAATGTCCAAGGTCTTCCTCACGACAGCCTCCTTCCTGTTCCACCGTTCATGCCTGGTGAACCCGGCAGAGCTGCACAGATGGGAGATGTGGGAGGCTGGGCTGAGAAGACTGAGGGAGGGAGAGTATCGAATGGGGCCGAATGAGGCCTTTGAACTTGACAGTGGGCCAGGTAGCTTCCCATACAGGATCTCTGAGGTTATGGTGAATTTTCCAGGTTGGTTGTGGCAGGTGACTGTTCCTTCCCTCAGGCAGCAGGAAATGCCTGGAAGAGCTGCTGTTACTAGCCCTGCTTTACAGGCAAGGCAACTGAAACTTTTGGACAAACAACTGGTCCTTGCCTGGCTGCCATCCGTCTCCCACTCTCCTGCAGGCTGTTCACACCCCCCATTCCTGACTCTCCAGTGGGGGGTAGGTGTTTGTGTTGAGAGAAATGAGCACTTCAAGTTCAGGGCCGTGGGCCATGGCTCTGGGGAGGTCCAACCACATCCAGAACAGGTTTAGGTATCTGGGAACACAGGGCCAGTGCCCAGGGAGAGGTGGCTCTGGAATGCAGGGAATTAACTCTGTCCCCCTGGGTCTCAGCCCAGACAGTCATGTCACACACACACACACACACACACACACACACACACACACACACACACACACACACACACACACACACACACACACACCCTCCCTGGCCCAAGCCACCTCCTGTCTGCCTGTAGCCGTTGCCTGCTATGTTCTGTTCCCAAACTTGGGCAGTTGCCACCATTCCCATTCAGGTATGGGCCCTCTGGGACCAGGATGGTGTTCTAGGGGAGAGAGGCAGATGGCAGCAGGGAACCTCCTGAGGAGCCACGAGACCCCTGCCTCACCTGGAGGTAAACCTCCTAACTAGGTTGCTTGCCTGCTGGGAGGCAGCTGCTCAGGTTCCAGGGCACTTGCAGCTGGTCATCATCCTCAGGAGTGACCCTTTGGCTGGTGACTTCTACCTGGCCCGGGCTTTCAGAGACAAGGGTTGGCGGTTGTCTGTCAGCTATAGCATCTGCATCTGGGGCAATCTCCACCTTCCTTTTCCCCTCTTTCTTTCTTTTTCTTCTTCTTTGAGATTTATTTATTTATTTTAAAAGAGTTACGGAGAAAGATGGAGAGACAAATCTTTCTTCTGCTGATTTTCCCCTCAGATGGCTGCAACAGCCAGCTCTGGGCCAGGCCAAAGCCAGGAGGCAGGAGCTTCATCTGACTGGGTCTCCCATCTGAGTACAGGGGCCCGCACACTTCAGCTATCTTCTATTGTCATCGTTGGAGCCTCCTAAGGCGCACAGGAGCAGAAAGCTGGAGTAAGTAGAATGGGTACTTAAACCTAACACTCCTATATGGGATTGATACATCCCAGGAGCAGCTCAACCACTACATGAAATGGTTGGCCCAGGTGAGCAGTTCTTT